GATATTCCTATTACCAGGATTTCCAGGAATGCCTCTTCTTTTCTTAGACTTCTGAGTTTCTGTGTGAGTACAAAGACTAGAAGCTACATTGTTCAAGCCACTAAAATCTTGTATAGTACTGAGTGCATTACCAGAAGAAGCACTTGCGTCACCAGACAAAGAGCTTAGTTTATAGGACAAGTTATGAGATGAAAACATATCCATGGCTAATAAGTGGGTTATAGAGCTATACGAAGAAGAAAACTCCAACCAGAGAAAAAACAAAAGCTGAAAGTGAACTATAAAAAGATCCAAACTTTGGTTATTTCTGATCTCTTAAAATAAGGAACTTTGATCAAGTACCTAGAGAGTAAACAAGTTTACACAGAAAGACATCATTCTTTGGCTATATATGCAAGAAAACAAAAACAAATATCATAAATTTTTAACATTTTTTAATTTAGTTTTCTTGAGTGTATACACACATGTAAATGTATAGTTTTCAAAAGCAAGAGGACGACCATGATGGATTATTCTCCAAGGTCGCTATCAATATTTTGTACATATACAGATATGTGTGTGCTTACAATAAATGCAAAGACTGTTTGATTCCCATTTTTGTATTACTTTTTCTATGTGCAGATAAAATACCACAGGGGAGAGAGAATGTGTTTGGAAGTGAGACTTGACTTTACATTTTCACATATTTTTCTTTTTAAAATTGTCTGTTTTCATTTTTTTAATTTCTATGTTTTGTTTTGGAGACTCTTCTGCATTACAGAGAAGAGTGATGATTACAGAACCAGGCCTATAAGCATTTACTTAAAAATTGTCTACTAAAAAGAAGAGTAGACCCAGAAAGAAAGAAAAAAGCAAGCTATCAATTTGTGCAATCAATGGAAAATATTGTGAGATAAGACTTAGCAGGCCTAATTTCCTTAAATGGAAGTGATAATTACTTATATATCAAGAAAATGAAATGTTTTTCAATTTATTGGATATGTATAGTAAACGTTTTTGTTTTGTTTAGTTTGTAAGAGAATCTAAAACACAATTAATTAGCCAAAAAAACATTGTTCTTATAATAGAAGACTATATTTAGTTATAGAACCATTGAGGAATACCCTCAATTTTTACTTTTTCATATAGCCCAAGATAGGAAAATATTAATCATATATAGCTAAGAAATTGAAGTTCATTGGATCGTCTCTTTTTTTTTTTTAGAAATAAAACCATTGGATCGTCGTTGTTTATCTAATACATACAATACATCATGTTGATAATGGATCGTGAAACTCAAACTTGATCATCTTTAATTTTTTTTTTTTTTGTGTGTGGTGTTCTTATGAATTTGAGTGATGTTACTTTCTACTAACGTTGTTGGAACTTTATCTCCTTTTTACTCGTAATTTATTTCATAAGATACCCAAATTCTTAAAAGGGCACAGTGATTTGAATGAAACTTATCATACGCTACGAAGTAAAAATTTAAACAACTGAAGAAAGTGTAAATAAACCCACACACAAGGAAAAGGGAACATGTGATTGTGTGCATGAAAATAACATTTCTTCTCTATACATACCTTTTACCTTTTTTTCGTTATGTATAAATTAATATCGATAGTTTACTACAATACTAAAAAGGGGAAGTAATTCTTTTTATCTCTAATATTTTAAATGAAATTGATCGATAGTATATTTTAACTTATAGTATAAGTTTACTTTGCTCAATGTAAGTGGTGTTGCCATTTTTACATACGGGAGTTTGATTTTAATTTCCTCTTGCACACTTGCCTCTTTCTATTACAACTTCAAGTTCAAACCAAGAGAGGAATTCTCCTTTCTTCAAATAAACTTGAGTTTGAATCACTCACAAATATATGGGAAAACACACACACAAATGATACACAAAGCAACCAATGAACAAAAAGCATTTTGGCTTTGAATATCAAAATGGAATATTTTACTTTGTTGAATTTATTTCGTCTTCCTATGATTTTACTCTTGTGGATGCATGACTTTTGTGTTATCTTCCTTTAAATTTATCTTTCTTATAAATTTTTGATTAATATTCCCATATATCCCTTTGAAAAGTAATCATGCACCAACAAATTTTCCGCACTATTGCATCCGTTCTTTAACTTTTTATCTCTTGAGTTTTTCTATAAATAATATTCCAATCCGAATTCAAAAAACATAAAGTTTAATTGTTATATCGATTTTACCCCTAGAAACGTCATGTACGTCCATTAGATTCACTGTGATAGGTGTGTGTATTTTAGTAATTTTCGTGTGATAGAATCCCTTTAGGCCCAAAGCATACGACCATCATGAGACACGAGGGTAACTAAACCCATGCAACACCGAATATTCTTCTTTTTTAAAACATTAGAAAGGCTTTTTTGAATTGTGAAAAGAATTCTTAAATATGTATATGGTATACGTAAGAAATAAATATACATAAATATTAAAATTCTTGTAACAAATAAAGGGAAGAAACTAGCTCATTTGAGGACAAAGAAAAATTGAGACAGTCTTGACAATCTTGAAATATAGCTCTCACTCCGCAATGTAATCTTGTTTTTTTTGTTGTTGCCAAAACTACTTTAATCTTAAAGTGCTACTCTATGTAATACCTCTAACTTCATTACCTTTAATGATATTTAACATTTTCGAAGAAAAAACTAGTCACCCAAAAGTTAACTAGATAAATACGATCATAATGTCTTTTGGAGAAAAATTAATGGATATAAATTTCATACAAATATAACACAAAAATATATCTATAAATTAAATGTTGAAAAAATTACAATGCATAAATTACAATGTATAAATTTAAGCCATTTTCTCTCTTAATTTGGGCAGCTATAATAAAGTTTTTATAAGAAAACATGAGTTAGTATTTAAGTATTTTTTTCAGTTTTTATCTAGTTTAGGGCTAGAGAAAATTTAAATTTGATTTAAGGAAAATACAACAACAAAGAATAGAAAAGAGTGACGGTAGGTTACAAGTTTACACATCTATGATTTTTAGAGTTTTACAAATTTTCACACTTTACTTTTTACGTTCATCTCCAAGCTTCT